GGAAAACTGCACAGGTACATGTAAAAGAATGAAATTAGAACACTCCCTAACACCATACGTAAAAATAAACTCTAAATGAATTAAAGACCTAAATGTAAGGCCAGAGACTATCAAACTCTTAAAGGAAAACATAGGCAGAACACTCTATGACATAAATCACAGCAAGATCCTTTTGACCCACCTCCTAGAGAAATGGAAATAAAAACAAAAATAAACAAATGGGACCTAATGAAACTTAAAAGCTTTTGCACAGCATAGAAAACCATAAATAAGACGAAAAGATAACCCTCAGAATGGGAGAAAATAGTTGCAAACAAAGCAACTGACAAAGGATTAATCTGGAAAACATACAAGCAACTCATGCAGCTCAATATCAAAAAAACAACCCAATTCAGAAATGGGCAGAAGACCTAAATAGACATTTCTCCAAAGAAGATATACAGATTGCCAACAAACACATGAAAGAATGCTCAACATCATTAATCATTAGAGAAATGCAAATCAAAACTACAATGAGATATCATCTCACACTGGTCAGAATGGCCATCATCAAAAACTCTACAAACAATAAATGCTGGAGAGGTTGTGGACAAAAGGGAAGACTCTTGCACTGTTGGTGGGAATGTAAATTGATACAGCCACTATGGAGAACGGTGTGGAGGTTCCTTAAAAAACTAAAAATAGAACTATTATATGACCCAGCAATCCCACTACTGGGCATGTACCCTGAGAAAACCATAATTCAAAAAGAGTCATGTTACCAAAATGTTCATTGCAGCTCTATTTACAATAGCCAGCACATGGAAGCTACCTAAGTGTCCATCAACAGATGAATGGATAAAGAAGATGTGGCACATATATACAATGGAATATTAGCCATAAAAAGAAACGTAATTGAGTTATTTGTAGTGAGGTGGATGGACCTAGAGTCTGTCATACAGAGTGAAGTAAGTCAGAAAGAGAAAAACAAATACCATATGCTAACACCTATATATGGAATCTAAAAAAAAAAAAAAAAAAAAAAAAGGTCATGAAGTACCTAGGGGTAAGATGGGAATAAAGACACAGACCTTCTAGAGCATGGACTTCAGGATATCGGAAGGGGGAAGGGTTAGCAGTGACAAAGTGAGAGAGTGGCATGGACATATATAAAATACCAAGCGTAAAGTAGATTGCTAGTGGGAAGCAGCCTCATAGCACAGGGAGATCAGCTCGGTGCTTTGTGACCACCTAGAAGGGTGGGATAGGGAAGGTGGGAGAGAGGGAGACGCAAGAGGGAAGAGATATGGGAACATATGTATATGTATAACTGATTCACTTTATTATAAAGCAGAAACTAACACACCATTGTAAAGCAATTATATACTCCAATAAAGATGCTAAAAAAATAAAACCAATTTCATTTTACATTTTTTTCTCTATTTACTAAGTAAATAAATTTTATCTTATTTATTTGGCATTTTTCACTATCTTTTCTAATGAAATCTTTTTTCAAACTCATCAACAATGTCTCAGTTCAGCTTGTAGGGGGAAAAAGTGATTGATTACATCTAGTACAGGACAATCAGAAGAATGTTAAGATTCCCTAGCAACCAGGAACAGTGTTAGGAAGGTGCCAGATCCAGCTGCATATTTGAGTAAATGCCTGCATGGATAGGAGAGGCAAGGGTGTGGAGCCTCCTTCTTCCAAAAGATTGAGGAAAGCTGTGGTTTTAGATTTCTTACTTCCTATGTTTGGTATGCATACATTAATGGATATAGAATATATATTCCATTGAACCAAGAACTTTTATTTTGTTCAGTGCTGTATCTATGATAGTCATTGACATAAAGAAGAAAGTTAATAATATTTCTTGAATTAAGGATGAATAAATGCAAAAGATGTTCATAAAGCTTCTATTAGCAATAGTAATGAGAAGTTGTATTTTGGTTTTTTGTTTTGTCTTGTTTTGTTTTGTTTTTCCGATACGCGGGCCTCTCACTGCTGTGGCCTCTCCCGCTGCGGAGCACAGGCTCCGGACGCGCAGGTTCAGCAGCCATGGCTCACGGGCCCAGCCGCTCCCCGGCATGTGGGATCCTCCCGGACCGGGGCACGAACCCGTGTCCCCTGCATCTGCAGGCGGACTCTCAACCACTGCGCCACCAGGGAAGCCCTGTTTTGTTTTTGAGTTACCTAATGATTAATGAAACATCCATCAAAATGTTTATATGCTTTAAAAAACATATCTTTAAAGATATTCAGAAAAAAGAGAAGCAAAATAAAACAATTAGCACATGAACTTCTCACGCATGAATTTAGAATGGAAAAGAAATTGTTTCTTTTCTTGTTCCATAATGGGGTATGAAGCATCAACATTTACATTATAAAGATCTCTAACCTACCAAGAAAACATTGCTTATTTTTCCTATCTAAGTTACTCTATTTTTTCCATATTACTATCAAGTTGATTGTCAGTATGTTTCTAAGACACCTTGGTTGTAATATTTTACACAATAATTTATGTATCAGATGTATTCCTCTTAGGAGTACTGTAATATCTTTGTGCAAAATGTGAAGCTCAGCATAAATCAATAATATGGAAAGCTACATGAAAAGTATTTACACCAAAGTTCCCTACTATAAGAGAATTTATATAGTTTGCATATTAACTGACTAGAAGTATAATATGATAAATTAAATTTAACTTTGTAGGAGACGTGGTTTGATACCTAATCCTTTAAAGCAAATTGTAATACTTAATGCCTGAAATCTTTAAATTCTCTTTCTAAATGAGTGTCACATAATAATATGAGACAAAGAAGAGGTGAAATGAGTAGCTCTCAACTAAGTTTCTTCAAAATATAATTTGCAAAATATATTTGCAAAGTTGTTACATAAGCTTTTAAACTCATTCATTGCTAGTGTTCAAAGTAATACACAATAAACACATTTTCAGCAAAGGAAATATGTGGAGTTAGAGCCAAAAAACAATTTAAATATCAAATGCTGTGCTTTTCAGAAAAACACAACAATATAAGTACTTTCAAAACATTTAGATACTGTCAGAGTGAAGTAAGTCAGAAACAGAAAAACAAACATCGCATATTAATGCATATTTGTGGACTCCAGAAAAATGGTTCAGATGAATTGGTTTGCAAGGCAGAAATGAGACACAGATGTAGAGAACAAACGTATGGACACCAAGGAGAGGAAGAGGGGGCGTGGGATGAATTGGGAGATTGGGATTGACATATATGCACTAATATGTATAAAGTGGATGGCTAATGAGGGCCTGCTGTACAGCACAGGGAACTCTACTTTGCTATACAGTAGAAACTAACACAACACTGTAAAACAACTATACCCCAATTAAAAAATAAAAAACATTTAACTTAGAATTCATAAATATAAATGAGTAAAATATAAATTCATCCAAGAATATATCACTTAATATGCCAGGAGAATTATGTAAATTCCAGTATTTTAATTATTCCAACCCTTAGCCTTAGGAAAAGAAGAAGATGGTCCAAAATAGTTCCTATACTTTTCCCCAACTCAACAACTGTAAAGCTGGTTTGTATTAGTAGAACTAAAAATTCACATTATGAAAAAAGAGCCAAAAATCACAGCTGTAAAAACCAGCCATTTTTTAATAACCTTCTCAACAATGGCACAAGTTTCTATATTAGTGTGGTTATAAAAATGACCTTTCGTGTCCCAAGACATATCTGCCAATTATTTTAATACCTTGGAATTTTAAAAAAAGTGCTTTTCACTTAAATTCTGGATCTACTTCTTTTTCTACTTTTATCCAAATGACTTGTTACAGGAAGCTTTTTGACATTAAATTATCAGCTAATTAAAATGAAATCAACTTCTATCATGTCTAGGAATGAAGCTGAATCAATAAAATTGTCTATATTCCACATATGGTAGAAGGATTTTTTAAACATTTATTGTAATAATTAACAATAAAAAAATAAACTAAATGCCTATTTATACAGGTATAGTTAAACCAATTATGGGGTGTGTGTGTTTGTATATATACATATATGTATATATATGTGTATGTATATGCATATATACGTTTGTATATGTGTATATATATGTATACACACATATATATACATATATATATACACACTGTGGAATACTATAGAACAATGACAAAAATAGGATAAGTTTATAAATACTGACATGAAAATATATACTGACAAGTAAATATAGCAAGAAACAAAACAACAGATTGAGTAGAACAACATTTTTCTAAAAGGAAATCAAAATTTTACAGCATGAGTATACGTGTGTGTGTGTGTGTGTGTGTGTGTGTGTGTGTGTGTGTGTAAATATAAAGAAAAACCTCTAAAAGGATGCACAACACACCATTCTCACTGGTTACTTCTGGGGAGAATTTTTTGACTTTGATTTCAACAAGAATGTATTCCTTAATTACTTGATGGAAAAAAATGATCTAACGTGAAATTTAGGGGAGGAAAAATTTTGTTATTAAACTCTCAATTTACTTTAAATGATTAAGCTTATGCAGGCTTAGCTTATCCAGAATAATACTGCATACATCACTGATACTGACATTTATTATAATTTTTATTATTACTTAAATGTACCCAAATCTATTTAATTTAAGAAAAAAAGCTATGACAATAATTTTCAGATTTATATCACACTTTTTTTTTCTATAAAAGGTGGAACCAGAGTAAAGACCAAAGAAGCTAATAATCTAGCAATTAATTCTACAGTATTTTGTTTTCAAATTTCAATCCTGTGTTCTCAAATATTCTGTAAGTTCTCAAATGCAGAGCAACATCTAGCATTACCTTTGTAATCTACTAAGTATGCTTTCAATGAACACTTATTAATCAGTTGAAAGGAATTCTATACCGAAATAAGACTACACTATAATTCTATAATTTGTGTAGCATATGTCTATGTGTGTAATTTTTTTTTACTAAAGTTTGCCAAAGTTTAAAAGAATAAAGAAAACAGACTCTCAAACCGCTACCTTATATTCATCCACAATAATGCTGAGGGCTTCATGACCAGCTTTCCTCATGTCTTCCAATTCTTGTTTATGTTTTTCCTGAAAGAAAGCAAGAAACTAAGCCATGATTTGTTCTTTTGACAAAATAACAACACACCATTGACTTCTGTATCTATAAGTGATTGAGTAGCTTGTGGCACACAGCTGCAAACAAACAGAAAAACTATTAAAAAAAAAAGTTATGTTTAAAAGCACTCTGGAGGGCTGTGGCAATGAGAAATTAAAGGGAAACAATAACTGAGAAAGGAAAACCATGCTGCGAGGTAAGGTAACACATGGCAATGGTGTTATCCCTTGGGGCATTTGGCAATTCTGGACCTGGATCTAGAGACAGGAGGTCCTGTGTTACTTCAACAAGCCAGAACCCTTTTTTTTTTCCATTACTTCTCTAGTAACATATACATGCCAATAGTTTAATACATAATAAAGTTTGAGAACCACTGGATTAAGATAATCAACCCCCCCATTCTACCTTCCTAGGAAAGCAGAGGCCTTACCTCTCTTTGGAGAATGTTAACATCCTACACAGAGCCTTTCCAATTTTTCAAACACAATGTACAGCTTTCAATGCAAAATTATCAGAGATGGTAACAGATGAGACCAAAGAAACAGAAAACAGAAAAGACAAAAGAAACAGACCCATGTGTGATTCAGAAATTACTTATCAAAGAGTTTAAAATATGTATGAATAATACATTCAAGAAAATAGAGAAGAAATGGAGAAAACAGATAGGATAGAGATTTTCTTCAGAGAACCGGGATTCGTAAAACAGAAATTCTACCGTGAGAAAAAATGTATTATTAACAACACAATAGATGAGGTAAATAGTAGGTGAAATAGCAGAAAGCAGGATCAGAGAACCAAAAGACAGTGGGGGAAAAAAAAGAAACTACAGCAGAAAGAGAAATAAGTGATGGAAAATACAAAAAAACAACTTTAAAAAGACATGGGACAGAGTAAAAAGATCAAATATACATGTAACAGAAGAATTGTTAACAAATAATCCAAAGAAAGAAGAAAAAAATTAAATGTAGCAAGATGGCAACAATAGAGTGATGAAGAAAAATAGAAAACAAAAATTTCTAACATTATGCATGAATTCAGGGTATTACAAAACCTACAGATATTTCTAATAAGCAGTAATATATTATTAAATATTAGAGCAATAAATATGAAATTTTAGATGAAATGAAAAAACTCCTATGAAAAAACACAACTTAACAAAACTGAAAGAAGAGAAATAAAAACTCTGAAGAGTCCTATATGTGTTTAAAAAAAATTGAACCTGTATTAATTTAAAAACCAAACAAAATAAAACTTCCGACCAAGGAAACCATAAGCCCAGATGATTTAACAGGTTGATTTTAATAAACATTTAAGAAACAAGTAACAGAAACCTTACACAAAATCTTCCAGAGAATAAAAAAAGAAGGAATACTTCCCTACATATTTTATTAAGACAGCATATTCCCTTATACTAAAATCTGTAAAGATAAAATTATGAACCAATCTCTTTTATGAAAACAGAAGTTAAAATTCCACATAAAATATTAGCAGATGGAATCTAGCAATACATAAATAAGATAATACATCTCAACCAAGTGGGATTTACTTTAGGAATGTCAGGTAGGTAGAAGTGACGTACACCATTTCAAGCTTGAACCACAAAGCCTCCAACACAATCCTCCACACATTCCCTTTTTCCCCCTATTTGCTTGCTGATGTCAATGCCTAAGATGACAATTAAAGTCACGTGCTGTGAACGGCAGCAGGGCCTCTATCAGCCTGGGACCCTGAATGACTGCACCATCACCCCAGTGGACTTAGAGAGAAAATTAACTATATTTAGGGAAAAGATAACACCAACAGTTCCTGTTCATTTACTGCCACCCCTCTCATTTATAAGCTCCCCTCATTTACTATGCCTTACTTATTCACAAGTTCTATTTCACTGTCAAATTCTAATTGCCATTTCCAGTATATCACTTTATGTATCTTTCTGTAGCTAAGTCATTCTTTCCCAAAACAGCCTAAACATAAAGGACCAACAAGGGCACTTATTATAAACACTGATTTTTGTTGGTATGATTATCAATCTATGGCTCACGGCAGCAATCTTTTTAAAGTCATTTTCCCATTTCTGTCAGAGTTGTTTCAGTAAAAACTAAATAACATAGCAGCTAAATCCAATTACCTGGTAAAGCAAGCTCATACGTTCTATTATACTAAAAAGCAAACACATGTAGGCAGCACTACCAACTCATCACTTTGGAACTCCCGTTCAGGTCAGGTTATCTCACTAATGGTATGTGACTGTCTCATAAAATGACCTAGGAGGGCAAAAGCATCAATTTCTATGCTGAATATTAACATAGTTTTTGTTTTTCTTAGTTTTTAAGATTAAAAAAAAGTAAATAGAAACATTTTTCTGACACTTTCTTTTCACATCATAGTGGAACATCTTAGGCAGTTCTTGGGATGCATATATTATACCTTAAGACCAATGATTTATGACAAAGTCATATAAAACAGGTTACATGGTCAAACAAATTGTGGAAATTAACAATATATATTAAAATATTAGACCTCCTACAAACCCACAAGTAAAGAAATTTGTTGAACTTTACTAAAACCAGCATTTTTCAGACTTAACTAATTAAATATTAATTTACTTTTTTTCTCTCTCTGGACAATACCTATTACCAACTAATCAGTTCAGAATTGAAACTGAGAACCAAAAAGGTCAAGAAAGCTTTCTAGAGTTAATCAGTCTAAAGCAAAGCAAATTAACCTAGATCCACTAAGTGAAACTGAGAATATAATCTATTTTTACCTCAGTAATTAGTAATTAAAGATGAATATGCACCATTTCAATTATAAAGTTTGATCATTCAACAACTATGTTCTGAATAATGAACCATTAAAAAGTATTAGTGTGCCATTTAAGGCACATATAGAGTACATTATATTAAGCAATTCATATAAAAGGTTTTTTCTAATAGACATTTTATAAATGATCAAAATGTTCTATGACATTATATTTTATTATAATTGAAAATAAACACTTAGTCAATGGCTGTATCTTCTCACATAGAAGGAACAGCAATTCAGTGCTTTGCATAGTGCCTTAGAACACAGCAGCTGTTCACAAATGTTTGTTGGATTACGCTGAAATTCTCATTATTGACATAATGGATTTCTATAATCATTTTAGATATCAGAACTAAAATTTTGAAATTATATTCAATGTGTACTTCATAAGAAATTTTTACATAATGTAGAGATGCTCAGTGATATTCATCATTCAAGATAGAAAATGTAGACTCTGAGAGTACCATGAAATTTACAGTTACCGATCACCTAAAATTTTCCCAGATGCCATTAGTTTATACCAAATTTTCTTTGTAAGCATTATATTTAATTTAAACAATAACTATGTGCCTGACTCTGCTAGCCTCTGGGGACAAAAAGATGCTGAAAATATAATAGTTATCTTCAGCCTAGTAATACAGAAGATTGACTAACCTGTATACAGTAACTTGAAAGTGATAATGAGTACGAAAGGATTTTGTTAATGAAGACAAAAATAAGATATTATTACTGCTGCTACTAGAATCACATTTGCTACTGCTACTTTTCAATAATGAACAAAACCCCTAGACCAAAGATCAGCGAAACCATAGAAGGCTAAATAACACATAAACAAACTAGAAGAAACAAAAAACTATAGAATACTCTATCCAACAACAACAGAATACACATTATTCCCAAGTGGAAATGGAACAATCTCCAGGATAGACTATATGGTAGGCCACAAAACAAATCTTAATAAATTTTTAAATACTGAAGTCAAAGTCTGCTCTTTGACCACAAGGGAATGAAATTTGAAATAATTAATCGTGGGAAACTTGAGAAAATTCACAAATGTGTAGAAATTAACACATTCCTAAATAACCAATGAGTCAAAGAGGAAATCACAAGGAAAATTAAAAATCTATATATAAAAAAGAAGAATTTCAAATCAATAACCTAACCTTTCACCTTAAAAAACTAGAAAAAGAAGAGCAAACGAAACCCAAAGCAAGCATAATGAAGGAAATAAAAAGATTAGAAAGAAAATAAATAAAAAAATAGAAAAAAATAGAGAAAATCAACTGGACCAAAGTTGGTTCTTTAAAAAAAGTCAATAATATTGACAAATCTTGATTGACCAAGAAAAAAAAAAAAAGATGACTCAAATTATTAAAATCAGGAATGAAGGAAAGGACTTACTACTGAATTTAAAGAAACAAAAAGGAGCATATGAAAATATTATGAATAACTGTATGCCAATAAATTAGATAACAAGGTTGTAATGGACAAATTCCTAGAAATATGTAAACTACCAAAATTGACTCAAGAAGAAACAGAAAACCAAACAGACTTATAATGAGAATAAATCAGTAATCAAAAAACTTCGCACAAAGAAAATCCCTTCTTTCAGATGACTTCAGTGGTGAATTCTAACAAATGTTTATTAAAAGGATTAACATCAATATTTTTCCCCAAAATAGATGAGGAAATATGTTCTAACTCATTCTATGAGGCCAGTATTACACTAATCCAAAGCCACACAAAGACAACACAAAAAAAGACAAAGTGATGTGTCTTATGAATATGGATGAAAAGTTCCTCAAAAAAATAGCAGCAAGCAGAATCCAACAGCATATTAAAAAGACTAGGATCAAGTGTAATTTATCTCAGGAATGCAAAGGTGGTCCAACATACAAAAAGCAATCCATTTAACACACCACATTTAAACAATGAAGGAAATAAAACCCCACATGATCATCTCAGTATGCAGAAAAAGAGTGACAAGATCAAGCATATTTTCACTATAAAAATACTCAACAAACTAGGAATAAAATACAGTATCCTCAGCCTGATAAAGGGCATTTGTGAAAAACCCACAGCTAACATCATAATATTGTCAGACTAAAAACTTTCCCCTAACATCAGGAACAAGACAAGGCTGTACACTCTTGCCACCTCTATTAAA